CCTGGTGTAGGCACAGAAGAAGCTGGGCAGCCGCATCCAACTATGGTGCTGGGTGATGAGTGTGTGGTGGAAACTGAGCTCTGTCAAAGCAAGTGTTGGGGCCTCTGATACCACTGCTGAAAGCACTTTTCAGAGTCTCACTTAGCACCCCCGGGGATCCCTACTAGTGCCAAGGAAGCAGCCCCTGGGGGCCTTCAAAGCTGCTGGTGCAGCCACAGTCCTGCTCTGGCAGCTGGAAAGCCTGGGCTTCTTCTCACCAGGGAGGGTTGGGCTGTCCCCAGTGTGTCGTGCCAGGGGGGAACCCAAAGGGGCAGCTGCAGGACCCCTCATTGCATGTCACTTCTGCAGCAGGTCTCAGCAGATGTGAATCCCACTCATTCATGAAGAAGAAGGTGTGGAGAGGGGCAGGGAAGAGAATTTGGGGCTGTGGCTGTGTAGCCCTTGGAACTGGTATTGTGGAGTGAAGTATGTCAGGTGTGCTTTAGGAAACAGCATTGTACCTCCAACTCTCAGTGGTTTTATATTTTTTCCTTCATGGACCACTTTTTCAGTGACAAACCATCCTGGGAGGGAAGTGCTGACCAAATTCACCACAGCTTGAGTAGCTGCAGTGAATGGAGATTAACATGAGTATGCTTTGCCACCATATACTCACTATGAACTGACCTTTACATGATGTTGTTCTGGTTAAATATAAATTTACATATCTTGGCCCAAATTATCTGAAGGTGCTGGCTTTGCAGAGCTCTCCCTCTTGTACATAAGGACAAGGTGGGACATTGCAGGCTTGCTCCCCTCTTTCTCAGATCACCTGCATTATGAAGTAGGAGAGAAATCTGCGTCCTCTAGGACAGTGTCATGTTCTGTTTGCCAAAGCCTCACAGAAGAAAAGTTCTAATAGCTCAGCATGTCCTCTGACCTAATCAGCCATGGACTGGATGGGGGCCATGCATGGAAAACTCCAAAGATATCCTTACACCACTTTACTCTCCTGAGACCCCTTTTCTATAAGTAGCCTCTGTAAGGAAGTTATCCAAGCTTATAAGCTGTGCTTATTACATAAACTTATAAAGATATGTAAATATTTGGAAAATACAATTTTTCTCATTTATTTCTCTCTGAAATTCGGAAACATCAAATCGAGGGGGATACATTATGGGAATGTCACAGAGATCATGTAAAATTTTGCTGATTCCTAATCTGTGTTTCTCTGACACCTTGCATTTTAAGAGAACACAGGTGTTTCATATCACATGGGGAAAATAGTAGCATAGTGAAGAGGAAAAAATGTGTTTCATGCACTTATTTGTGAACTTACATCTGCTTTCATCACAGGCCATGGTTGGCAAAACTCCAATGGACTTCAGTAGGAATGGGTGCTAAATTTAACCATCAAATCAGGTTGATTCTAAATAACCCTGAACAAAGGGAAGGCTTCCAGGTCCAAGGACCCATGGAGAAATATTTTCTTCAACAGTCATTTGTCAGCAATCAGAGCAGAATCAGATCAGGACTGGGCAAAGTGCTCTTAGGTAGCACAGCTGTAGTATTTCCACATTTTGGGGGGTTGTTTTTTGTGTAAATTCCAGGTGTAATACAGTATATTTACAAAGGGTAAAAATAACATGCAGCTGTGAAGAAAAACATCTTGGGTTTCATTTCATACCTGAGGATGAATCACTGAAAAGCTGCACCCTTTATGCTGGGCACATTTTCTGAAAGCTGCTTTTCCACTGCCCCTGTTCCCCTGGTGGTTCAGAAATAAAGCAGACACACAGCAGATCCTAAAAAACCCTTTGCAGACAATCCCTCTCTTGTTCTGGGGACTAAAATTACCATTTTCTAGTGTCTGCTTGCATTTTCAGCTTTGCTTTCTATACCGTAGAAGTTGGTTCCAGCCATTTGAATTAAGCCTTGCTTCAGTGGAATGCGTAAGCACATGCTCAATTTGAAGTACCTGGGTAGTCCTGTTAGCTGCCATGGCACTGCTTCCACACATGCTTGAGGTTAAGCATGGTCTTAGAAGATTTGCTGAACTGGGGATTTGCTTGTCCACCCAGTAAGTTAACAGGACAAAACCCTTGACCATCTGCTTCTGGGTTTTAATGAAAAGTTATTACTTATTTATGATCTTACCCACCCCCATCTGTGTATATTCAGATCAGAAAACCAGCTCAGAAGCGCTGTCAGATTGCCAAAAGCAGTGTGCTACTGGATCTTTCACATCATTTACTGTTCAGTGTTTACAAGAATGGTTTTAATGCACAATTGCCCATAACAGTGGTGAAGGCTAATACTGATGTGATATTTCATGTCAGCAGCAAGATATTCATCTTCCTACATGCCAAGTTCCTTTTCACAGAAAAACAAAATAAAGCAACTGTGCCAGTTAGGCCAAAGGATGCTGCTAGCTCTGTTTCCCAAACACATCTCTAAAAAGTCAGCAAATGTGCCAAATGTTTCTTTCTTTTGTCTTTGTAATATAACTGACCTTAGAAGTCAGGGTGAGCATCTGCATAGGTGTAAGGTCATGAGTTTGATGATATTTCCAAATATATGTGATTTAGTATGCAGACTCACTTTTACATATATGCCATTTGTATTTGTTAAGGGTAAATGGAAAAAGCCAACATTCTAGTCACAAGCAAACATCACAAAAGCTCTTTTCTATGTCTGAAGAAAAAGTTACTTTCTTTTGCTTATCTAGCTCTGTGTAGACAAGAAATAAGTGCATCCCAGAATTATATTTAGGGGTATATAGTGGGGTAGAAAGGCTAAACCTGAGAGAATAATGCCCAAGTACTCTAGTTCTGAGAAGAAAGGCTAAATTCACCACCACGCAATGACAGGCAAAAAACAGGTGGTGACTGCATTTTCCCTTGTGGTTATTTTTCAGTCCTGTGGCTGACAAGGAGTTGTAGGATCTTTACACAATGCAGATTTCTTATGTAATATGTTATGCAGCACCCAAGATATTTTATACCTGGAAAAGGTATGTGAAGCCAACATTTCCCAGGCAATATTTAAGGCCCTGTTCCTTCTTCTAAAGCAGATGACAGTACCCATTGAGTGGTTTCTGTGATATGTTTTATTTTTAAATTGAAAGCCGTCAGCAGTTAATTTTGTTTTTAATACATACATTAACACAGCATGGTAAAATTAGTAGTAACACTGAGTGGAAAAAAAGTGATAATATGTACTTCTAGTATTTAATATGTATTCTAAATATTCGCATCTTTCCAAGCGCTAGTTATTTTTTAAAACGCGTGAGAATTATAACTGGTTTAGCTCCTGACCCATGGTAGTGCTGAGGATTCAACTCAACCGAGTCACTTGGGCATTGGATAAAATATCTGCCACGTGTTTTTGACATGTGCTGAGCAGACAGTGGTCCAAACTGTGTGTTATTTTTCCTCTTTTGTCCTTAAACAATAGCAGAACTCTTGTTAGGAAGTGTCTGTATTCTGACCACTGGTGTACTTACAGTAACACTGCTGCCCAAAGCTTGCAGCAGAAGCTGGGATTTCCAAGCTGCAGAGAGCAAGAGGCTATGGGTGAAACACATGTTGGAGGGCAGGGGATAGATCCAGAGTCTGGGTTTTGGAGGATGTCTCAGTTCTCCGGACTGCAAATTAGTCAGTTTGCAAGGATCCTAAATGAAGCATTGCAACCTGACTGACCACAGTACAGTTTCAGGAGTTAAATGGCAGGACAAAAAGAAAACTTGTTAGCGATTTAGTTTCGCTAGAGAAACCAAAACCCAACTAACACCTTCTTTCCCTTGCCAAACAGCCTCTTTAAATTTACAGGTATTCCCTGTAGCTCTGTTCTTTATTTTGATTTTTGTAACAATTTTTCTCTCTCTGATGAAACACGTTGTAGACATTAAATTAAGGGACAAATATGTCTGTGTCTGCCAGAAAGAAAACTGTGATGCAATTAAAATGCCATTAGGGAACCCCCTGTGGGATGTTAAACCAAAAGACTCCATTCAGAAAGCAAAGCCAAAATTAAAGAGGTGTCTGGTTGCAGATCCTCTGCAGATTTCCATTTCTTGACTACAGTACCATGGAGACTGTGCTAGTGAGGAGCTGAAAGGTTTTTCCAGTCATGTGTGTGGTATTTTGAATCATGGCTTTGGCAAATGTTCGTTTTCTGTAAGCCATACATAGAAGTATGTCTACATTGCATGACATAAAGAGCAACTGAGCATGGCCAACATGAAACAATGACAGCAGTGCAGATGAAAAGCTGCCCAAGGGTTGGACAAGCCTTGTCCAAGGCTTGGACAATCACAGTATCACAGTATGCTAGAGATTGGAAGGGACCTCGAAAGATCATCTAGTCCAATCCCCCTGCCGGAGCAGGAACACCTAGATAATGTTACACAGGAATGTGTCCAGGCGGGTTTTGAATGTCTCCAGGGAAGGGGACTCCACAACCTCCCTGGGCAGCCTGTTCCAGTGTTCCGTCACCCTCACTGAGAAGAAGTTCCTTCTCAAGTTTAAGTGGAACCTCTTGTGTTCCAGTTTGTACCCATTACCCCTTGTCCTATCATTGTTTGCCACCATTGTTTGACAATGACAGCTAATAATAATTTTCCTTCAGAGAATTTGCATTAAGTGTATCTTTATGTTTGCTGAGTTGTCTGTGAGATGTTTGGAGAGAGAAGTGCAAGTTACTTGCGGCCAGCAGGCTCAGCAAGCTCATTAGCAAGCCTCCATTCTCATCTGGTTGCTGGAAATAAATCATTAGTGTTTATATGTTTGGAGATATATAAGAGCCTGATCCTTTGAAAATAAAAATAAATATATGGTCCACTGGCTGGTCATTTTTTTCTGAGGCAACTGAAGAAATTAGCAGTTATTGGGTGGTAAGTGCTGAGTTTTCCAGTGATAGTCCAACCCTGGTGCTTGAGTCTTGTTTTTAACATTTCATTCAGTGAGGATATTAGTGGGGACTGGAATAATAATAGAACCACACCTTTCTTCTCTTTCTAGGAATTCTCCTGATGACTGTAGTGTGGCAAAAGGCGGGAAGATGGTTAGCGGCTCAGACAATGTTGGGATGAACTATGGAAATTACATGGAAGAGAAGCATGTTCCACCCCCAAATATGACTACCAATGAACGAAGAGTCATTGTGCCAGCAGGTTAGACCCTCTACACAAAAATTCAAAGCAAAAAAAGACATTTCCCCTAAGTCTACTAACATTATTTAAAAGGATTTGGAGAACAGTGGCGATGGAATACAAGTTATCAGGAAGAAAAGAGCAGTAATTTCCCAGGGTTATTAAGAGAAAGACCTGAGAAATATCATAGTAAAGCCATCTCCCCAGCCTGTTCCTCCCATTTCAGCAGCATAACTGGCAGATTACAGGTACTCAGATGTTATCTGACTTCTCTAGCCCTTAAGTGGGAAAATGAACAGTCACTTCCATTTCCTAACACTATGGACCAGCTGGGTGCAAAGTGTGTGGGAAGAGAAAGGCTCACTGTACCGCACGATATTCCTGCAAATACCAACTCCAGTCTGGCCCACAGCATGCTAAAACCACAATTGCTTCTGTAAAATCAAACGGTGCATGAAAAGCAGTCATGTAGGTTATCCCCTGAGTTTGGGTGGTGTAAAATATTTTAATAAGCAAGCTGACAACTCTTCAGCAGTGTAAGAGCACAACTGAGAAATTCTTGGTTAGTCTTGGCAAGCTTGGTTGTGGAATTCAGCAGTTAAGTGAACAAGAAGGAATTCACTCTTGTGTGCCTTGTCCTCCAAATAAACCTCTGATGAATGGTTTTCTGCTTTGGTTTGCAGAGTAATTAGAATGCCTTTTTCTGAAGTCAAAGCATTAGACCATCATCATGACCTATGTGAGTTTATAAACCACTGGCTGTACATAGCATAGACATACCACCTATAACCTGCAAACAGAAAAGAATGTTTTGCTGCTAGTTCATTTCCAACAGAGATGTGCCTATCTGAAACATTTCTGCTACTGCTATGTTGCCTAATATTCTTACAGTTTTTCAGTTGCTAAGATATGCAAGAGTACTAACTGTGGCCACATTTTGCAAGATGTGATTATTTCAGTTATTTGTCAAGATATGTGTGGACAAATATGTTGCAGTATCCTCTGCAATGGTATTGACAGTTCTGTTCTGAAGACAGAAGAGGGATGCACTGAATTATGAAGTATCCTGCCAACTGGAAGCAGATCACACTGGCATTCATGACATTTGAATGTTCCTCTAGAACATTTGTGGGTTTGGTGTTTGGCACTTTTTTTAGTCTTTTAGTAACCCTGAAGTTTGGTTAGCTCACACAGATCTTTCTCTCTCACTGTATTCCTGGAGGTATGTCTAGAGTAACAACTTTGAGGTGGATTTGAGTGACATTCAAGGAACAAGATGGTCACAGTCACAGCCTTTCTATTTTGAGGTTCCTAGAAGAAATGTATCAGTAAAAATCGCTTGATTTTCTTTGACTACCGTGTAGCACTGTGCAGCTCAAGTGGCAACGTTTAGGAGTAAAAAAAAAAGCAAAATTCACATTTCCAGCTGTGCTAATTTTCTAGTTATCATAAGTAAGAATAATTTAAAATTATAAGCATAATCAATTTTTAAAAAAAAATTCCTGGTGTTTGCTGGTTTACTTCAAACCGAACTGATTGTAATTGTTGGAGTTCTCTGTTGTAGGTGTGGGAAATCTCATACAGACCCTAGGTTTACCACCAGACTTGCATCCCTCTAGTTTGCTATGTATTTCATACCAGATTGAGTTGGGAACCTCTTTCCATAGGCTTTTAGAGACTGTCATGCTCTTGCTCACTTCCAATCCTTCACCCAATAGTGCCTTCACCTTTCTGATGCTTCTCTTGACATTTTAAGCCCTGGCAAATCAGAATATATATCCTCTGGAGCTTCAGAGGTCTTCTCTGTTCTCTGAAGTGTACCAGAAAACAATATTTTAATATGATCCATTCTAGTTTATGAAATAACTAACCAAATCTGTGAGTGCTTACTTAGCCTGTGCCCAAGGAACTGTACTTCTGACCGTGGAAAATTCACTTGAATAAAGATAAAAATTCAACAAAGAGCTTTGAAAATTGTCCAGATACAACTTACGGTGCTGTTACTGGGATTTCTTAGATACTTTTCTAAAAAGGATTCTCTGCATGAGGACAGAGACATAAAAGTGACAAGACAAAAAAGCTAAATGGTAGAAGGAACTCAACAGCAGAGGGTTTGTTGTTAATAATCAGAGCTCACAGCTCTTCCTTAATAGGTTTTCACAGATAGGTATTCTCCTTTGCACTCAACAGACCAACTTAATTTGTTCTGTATTTCCAGCAGTCAGTAAACAGGATTAAGTTCTTTCCAGTTCAGCTGTGGTCTACATTTATTTTGTACTGGTCGGGCGCATCAGCGCTCTCCCCTCTCTGCCTAATTTTATGCTTTGTGATGCCACCAGATCCTACGTTGTGGAGCACAGACCATGTACGCCAGTGGCTGGAATGGGCAGTGAAGGAGTATGGTCTCCCGGATGTGGATATCTTGTTGTTCCAGAACATCGATGGGAAGGAGCTGTGTAAAATGACCAAAGATGACTTCCAGAGACTCACCCCAAGCTATAATGCAGATATCCTCCTGTCACACCTACACTACCTCAGAGAAAGTAAGCTAGTTTTCTGTCATTGTGGTAGTGGCTACAATCAGTCTGCAGATTGTTGTCTAAGGATATCAGCCTTAGATTTAATGGTGTGGATACACTTCGCTCGGTTTTCAAATGTCTGTTGCAAATTTTGCTGTTCCTAAGAATCCTGATCCAAAGCCTTTTGAGTTTGATGGAAAGACACCCATTAATTTCAGTTGACTTTCACTCACATTCATTGAAGAAAACAGGAAATATTTCTTTATGTCCATCTCAGAGAAAAATGAAATTAAAAGTCAGCATACTGTAGGAAGAAAATCATATGGGATTCAGTACTAATGTTTTTTCTGGTCACATACTTGTTTCTTTCCATTTTAATAATGAGAATGCTAAATGAGAGTGCAAACAGTGATTCATAAAGTGAACTCCAGGCATGATTGTAAGGACTGACAGCAGTTTGCTCTACTCTGAATAGGATCAGAAAGATTTCACTGAATTTAATAAAATTTCTGTAAATTCATGAAAAAAAAGAACAGTCCCTGAAGTCCAAATGCAAATTACTTATAGTGCATGGCTAGTATTTCAAAGGGAAAGAGGGGGCTAGCAAATTCCTGGCTTGAGGGCTTTCATTTAAGCTTGAGGAAATTTTTCAGGTTTGCCTCATTTTAACGAAGTTAAAGCAAACATCGTTTTTCAAAGAAAAGAAAAACAAGCATTGCAACACCAGTGCGGTGCAGTCTTCTCCACACGCACACTGTCAATATCAGTCAGAAATATTATGCATTCATAATGTTGAATACATGAATGCCCTAGTTTAAGTCGTAGCACACACGCCTCCCTCCAAACTGCAGGCTGAAACCGTCGGTAGACTCACATTCACACAATCCTGTCAGGGGAAAATATGGTTTAAAAAGATAATTCACAATTTTTTTTTCATTTTGGTGTTGCTTTTTGTTTTGTTTTGTAGCTCCTCTTCCACATTTGACTTCAGATGATGTTGATAAGGCCTTACAAAACTCTCCACGGTTAATGCATGCTAGAAACACAGGTAATACTGGCACTGCTCCCATTGCTACAGGTCATCTTTTATAAGCACAGAATTCCTTTTTATGGGTTGCTTGCTAAAAATGGAAATGGTAAATCAGGAGGGAGACAAGTATATCCTCTTCCTTGATGTGTGTGTGTGAGTTTTATGAACAGACACACAAGAAAAATGTGCAGGGCCAGATGGTGCAAAAATGGTCTCCTTATTGGTATTTTCTTGTGTTCTACAAGAGAAAGGGGTCCCTGAGCCAAGATAAGTTGCAACCTTTGAGCCTTTGTTTCTGAGGACTTTTTTTCTCATTCTATCTCATTGTACTGTCAGACCTACTTCACAAATCCCGTGGATATCTCAAAAGTGCTATAGCACTTGCTTAAGTATTGTGGGCTCTGTTGAATGGTGACTGTCTTCCCTCCCATGCCGTATGTTGTATAATTCAGTAAAATTGCTATTTAGGCAGTTAGCTCATCTCCTTTGTCAGCCATATGGGACTTGAGCTGTAAACTAAACTAAGTTAGTTGTAATCTCTATTAAGTCTGAACTGAATATTCACCCCTCTGTTAATCTGGCCCAGGAAAGTATTGAGTGTAGGTAGGAGAATGATACAATACATGCCTCTAAAGCACCTTTCTTTCAGAATATGACTGAAAATATTTATGAAAATAATTCAAATACATTTGATCTTACTCTCACAGTTGTGCAACTGAAGATGGCATGAAATTGTGTACATACTATGGTGTACACACTAATTAAAGATGTTTGGAATATTTCATGATCATGCCTAAGGGTATTAGTTACCAACAGTGACCAGAAATAACAATTCTTTATTAGAAATGAAAAAGATAATACAAAGGATGATTAAAAAAAAACCAAAACAACAAAACCCAAACAAAAATGCAGAACAACAAGAAAAACAAAACCAAAAAAACTTAGACTGTGATGCCTCTTTCATATTTCATTTAGCTTTTCACTGTGGTAAATAGCACTGAGTATCCCATCAAAATTAGCTAGATAAGAAGATCCCTCCCTGAGATCGTATGTTTGCCACTTGACACGAAGTTCTGCTGCAAGTTGCAGGCCTGCTGCAAACCCCACCAAAAAAACAACAGTTTTTTTTTTCCATTGACTTTGATGGTGTTTGAAATAAGATTTAAGCTCTTTTTAAAAGTAGATGGACTTGATGGTCTTTTCCATCTCTGGTTTTCCAGATTCTAATTTGCCAAGCAGTTTCGATATACAATTATCCAAGTGTTGTTCAGCAGTTCTGTGTGTTATCTTTTTCTATGTGTGTGCACTGACAATGATAATTTGAAATTCATTTCAATGAAATGATATTGTCTGCATTTCTGCTGGAAGTTTTCATTGGGAATGTGAATAATGTGATGCTGTTCATCAGCATAAGGAAAATTAGTTGTTCCTTTGGCATAAGATCTTTGGAGTGGGGTTTTCAAAGGACCCAGAAAGAGTTAGGAAAATGTTCTTGAACTCAGCAGTAACTGCACAAGTCCATATGACCCTTTTCATGTTCTTAGAGATGGTCATTATAAGTCTGCTGATGTAGTGAGAGCAGTTTCAGTGTGTGAGATGAGATACCATTTTCTATATCAACCTCAATACTTTTATTTTTTTTCACTCTGTGAAGAGAATGGGATTTCCAAGGGTCTGACCCAAAGCCCACCGAAGTCTTTGAGAAGATTCCCACAGACACCAATAGGCCTTGGCCCAGACCTGCAGTCTCTGTTGAAAATATGAAGCTGTTTGGGAAGTGCATGCACTAATGAAAAGAATGCAAAGAAGTTTTGTTTCAGAAAATACGAATCCACTTGCCCAGGTGGAGGTGATTGTGATGAAAGTAGAAGGGATTTCCTGAACTTGACTGTCTCCTCCCTTAACATGGATTTTGCAGACTTTTATCCAGTGTTTTGAATGGATTTATACAGGTGCAAAAGCTATCGGAATTAACTTTTGTATATAATAGTCCTAAGATAAAAATTAGTCATTCATAGTCTTCATTCAGACCCACTACAAGAAGGAAAATACCAGTTGACTTAGGGGTTGTGAATATGAATCTTTAGGTGTTATGTCATCTTCTTTCTCTTTAGGAGGTGCCACTTTCATTTTTCCAAATACATCAGTTTATCCAGAAGCAGCACAGAGAATTACAACCAGGCCAGGTATGAACAATGACCACCTTTTGTATGCTGTGATCTTGCTCATTTCATCCCTTGAAGTATCTCTTTCTCTTTCTCATTCAACTCTCTTTTCATAAATATTAGACTGTATTTTGAATGCACACACATATACATATATTGTATATATGTGTCTATGTATCGTTGTGTAGAGTGATATAATTAAATATAAAAAATCTGTTTCTTCAGTGTATCATCTCTGTATTTGAAGCAATGCTGTCTACTATTTAAAGCACCAGAGAATCAGAAGACCTGAGTTCTATTCACTGATACTGTAGCACTGTCTCAACACAGTCACTTTTCAATGTGCTTCAGTTCTCTGTAAGCTGAGGCAAGAATGCCCTCTTTTATCATGCTATTTGATGTATATTGGGAAAAATTTCTCTAAAAATGCTGTCTAGGTTTTATTTATGTTAGATGCAAACAAATGCCACAACATCTGCCTGTGACTTTAAAAAGTAAGATCAAAACATAAGAAAATTCTTATTGTTCAGAAGCTTGAAGCCCATGGAAGTATCGTGGGTGTGCTGGTATGTGAAAGGCTAAAGGGAATAAAGAAGATGAGGACATTGCTATGAACTAAAGGTTTTCTTAATATCACACTTCACCTCTAAAGATGCTGGGAAAATTACTCATGTGGACATTTACTTTTCCATTAATAAGTGCAAGGTACTGTGAGCCATCAAAAGGATTTTCAGCAAAATCCTAAATTTAAAGGAAATCAATTACTAAGCCAGAGTCATACATCCAAGTGTACTAAAAGGACACTTGAATTAACTGAGCTCTTGCGAAAAGGTACATTATCTCATTAAAAACAGAGGGGGTTCTGGATAGCAAATATTATATATATCTTTTGTCAATGCTCTAGGGTATAATCCAGGACAATACATATAAGTAACTATTTTATATACACTTGTGTATACTTCTCTGTAATTTCTTAACCGACAAATTTAAAAAGATAGGTAGGGAAACCTACCTGGCTGTTACATGACCAAATCCACCCTGTTTAGTTTCTAGGAAAACAAACTCTTCTCCTCCATTTATTTGTCTGTAATAGTGAATAAAAAAGAAACCGCTGATCCAGTGTACACATTTGGCATTTGGTTTCCATAAGGCATTTACCAAAGTGCCCCAGCAACTATTTACAATAAAAGTTAAATCAGCAGATCATAAGAAAAAGATTAAGAACTGTCTGATTAACCCATTACCAAGATTAAAAAAATGGACATCTTAAGTCATGGGTGCTTTAGCATTCTCTGCCAAGATTTGTAGTTACTAATAATTGGGAAAAGGACACGATATATTTGGTATAACACATAGAGAGATCATGTGATACTTAGAACCAGAGGTTCCTCTGAAGGATTGCTGTGCAGGTGCCTAGAAGCTTTAATAAGGAAAGGAGCTGGCAATATGTTAACAGCTGAAAATACAAGTTGATAAAAAGACACAAGTTACTTGCCTATTTTACTGATTTAAAATTAACCATCTTCACTTAAGAAAGAAGAACTTAACATAGGTGTCTTTCTTTGTGGCACAATGAAAGCCATTGCTATAGTTGATTGACAAAGTATAAAAAAAAGTAAATAGGTGAAGAAACACAGTGGAGATCATGTGGGAAATCTGACTGTACCCTTAAACAAATCAGCAGTGTGGCCTTGTACAGAAAACCGTGAATTATTCCTTGTCAAAAAAACCATTTGCAGAATTAGAAGGTGCTTAGAGCAAGCCATGAAAATATGGAAAATCTTTTGAGCATGTTGAAAGATACAGTAAGTTTAGAATTGCTCAAGTCAGGGCCTGGGGATGGGGAACAAGATATAATTATCAAAATAAAGTGTGTCGCAGAATAGCTGCTTAGTCTCAGTCTTAGTCTCGGTCTTAGAAGTAAGGATATTCAAAAAGAAGTTAGACATTTTCATGAAACATTAAGGCAGTTTTCTCTGAAGTAAAATTTTCTAAACCCCATATCAGACATGGTGAATTCCTTAATTTCATTATTTTTATCTAAATCACATTCACAGTGACACTTACAAAACTAAGTGTTTTATGTCAACATCTTCCTGTGTTTACACAATTACTTGTAAGAGTTGTAGCTTGGATGTCGGGTGTCCCTATTCTTCTGGGGGCTAACTAAACTAAACATTTCTTACAGCAAACTATCATGTGATTTTGAAAGTATCATTTTATCTTTTACAATTGAAAGTTGGCAAACATCTCTAAACTCAGAATTTTCATTTGTTAAAGAAATAAGATCTTTTTTGCAGAGTTTCAGTTTTCTCTCAAGAAACTGAGAAAACTTGTTGGCTTATTTGGTGGCTTTCCTTTTAGTTGAATGTCATATTTCAACTAGACTGCAAGGCAGCTTTTCCATTGCGAAGTTCCCTTCATGTGAGAGCAGTGGCAGACCCCAGAGACAATCACTTGTTGACATGAAAAAGGTCAGAACTGAGGGGTGGGAATGCATAATGTTAAATGGGAATTAGCCAAATCCTGGTAAGCAATTCTGGAGAAAGTATTTAAGCATTGCCATTGTTAAGGCACTACAATATAAAATAGGAAATGAGCAGGGCTCATAATCAACTACAATGACAAGGGCGTATTTCTTCAGTCACCTTTACAACAGAACATGAGGTTTCATCAAGCTGTAAGTAATACAATGAAGCTATCTGGAGCTCAGGAAGACCTAATATGGGTTTGTCTACATGTCTCATCAAACAGGAGCATTGCCATCAAAGATGTGTCCATGATAAGGACATGTTGTACTAATATCTCATGAATAAGAACAGATCTGCTTATCTGGGATAGCAACTTGTTTATCAAGACACAATACTGAACTAAGAATGAAGTTGGAATTTGGTGCTATTTCAAGAAAGGCTGATAGCTGGGTTTTTCTTTCAGTGAAGAGGGTGTAGTCAGGAAACCAGAAGATGCGTCAAGTTGAAAGGTGAAAATTTTCTCACAGTCCTAAATTTGTACCAAATGCATTTCAAGACACAAGTGCCACCAAGTACAGCACACAGCATCACACAGCCCACTCCATGGGCAGGTGTCTGATAATTTGGAGACCCACAAAAAAGAGCAGAGCAAAGGAGACTTTTCGGGGTGGGGGGGAAATAGGTTCCTTATCTCACCAGAATCTCCCTGGCAAGGCTGCCATGGAGGTAGAGTACTGGCCAGGCATGGCAGAATGGAACAAGACACATGCAAGCATCCCACAGCCAAGCCCTGTACCCCTCTGTACAGGCAGAACTCAGAACCCCCTGGAAACATGACCAGAGTAGTTCTGATTTTTATTTTTTTTTTTCCAGAAGATAAATTCCTCAGACCATGAGTTATCTCTAACTGCAACAGTTAATAATAGTGCCAATCTCAACCTGGTCAGGGCAGCTGCATGTTACAATGATTCACCTGCACACCAGTATTATGCTCAGAGATGGGCACTTGTACAGTTCACTTAATTTTTGCCAGGTTTCTGAAGGGCAAGATTATGGTATAGCTCTCAAGAAATCAGGGATAAAAGATCACAAGTTACTCAAATGCAATGCAAAGATAAATTGCATATCTCAGCAAAACGAAAGTTTTCAAAGTGTAAGATTCTATGAGACGACAGCGCTGGTAGTGCCAGTCTGCTCCACAAGCCAAACAGACTGAATAAATTAAAGGCAATTGGTTGTGAATTTCACATTACACTTTATTTCCATTGATATTTTTGCTCATAGCACTTGGGAATGGGCAGAGATACATCTGTTTCCACAGAGCCAGTCTGTGACTCTTTCTTTGCTTCATAAGTGGTTTAATTTCCAGACATCATTTCTAAAATAAAGCACAAGCATTGTTAAGAATAAAGTCATCCACAACAACTTAGTACCAGGTGGGGACTACTGCCTTCCTGAGATCCTGGGCAGTCTACAGAAGTCTCTGATTTTGGCAGCAATTTTAGCTAATGTATTAAAGCCGGCCATAGAAAAGCAGAGGCAATTACAGAAGATTTCAAAGGGTAAAACAAACATTTGAATTTATTACATATACTTTATGAAGAAAGCTTTTGTTTTAGTTTATTCATTTTTATGTGCCAAAGCATTGAAATGAAATAGAACTAATGAGCAGATGAAAGAAAAGACAAACAAAAATTTGGATACATAAAGTTAAGGAACTTGTCTCAGGAAGCAGAAAGGAATATTTAAATAGATGAAGCAGGGAAAAAGCGGTCCACTTTTTAGAAGAAATACGTGTGCATATACATGTTTAACATTCAAGCATGTTTAAGATTTAAGATGTTTTCACATATTATGTTTCTAAAACTAAAATCTATCTTAAAAGAAAATACTGTTACGTGCTGATATTGGGAGGAAGTGGTACACAGTTTATGCTTAATCTGAGCTCTGACCTCTTGGGGAACTTTTCCTTGCAAGACTCTAGCATAAATTGTCCATGATGTACAGAGTGTGTCATTCCTTGGTGCTCCAGGCTGAGGAAGGGGACCAAAGGGAGCGCTCTGAGCCTTTGGAAATTATAGACTCTATGAGTATTTTTACCAGCTATTTCAGTTCAGTTCAGACATCTAACAAGAATGGGCTTCTCTAAAGAGCAATGCAGAGGACAATGTGATGCTGTTATTTTAGAGACAATAAAGACAATAAAGGTTCTTAACAAGGAATATCCTTCTTATTTCAGTATCTTTTGCAATCCTGTGAGTCCCCTAGAAATGTGCCCCTCATGGACGTAAGAACCTTATTTCATATCTGCATTAACCAGTGCATCTTTCCTTTGCAGACTTGCCTTACGAGCAAGCCAGGAGATCGGCATGGACGAGTCACACCCACCCCAGTCCTCAGTCAAAAGGTAAAAGCATCTGCAGATGTCTAGCCTGTGGGCCTAATGCACATCAGGTGCAACCTGGATAGACTCTGAAGTGAAGTGATAGAAGCTGCTTCAACATTCAGCTCTGAAGGATTTTTACCTGTGCCTTGGCTGGAAAGCCTGTTGGCTCTGTATAAACAATACTGGGTAGAGTCACTGGGGCAGCCACATTCTTCCTTGAACTCAGGCTTCATCAGGTCCCTGACTCTATAGTCTTATAAAGCTAAATCCTATTGTGACCATCATTGAGTGGTGAGCAGCAGGAGCCCCTGGCCTGTGATCTGTCACAGGTTTGGTGCCCAACTTCCAAAATATAACTACTTCCAAAATATAACTACTTGAAAAAATAACTACACGGTTTTTCCATTTTCAGCTACTCAGCCATCACCTTCAACAGTTCCCAAAACAGAAGACCAGCGTCCTCAGTTAGGTAGGTGTTATTTTGTTTGAATTATGTCTGGGTCTGATGGAGTTTGCTGAGCGTGATGAGAAGGACAGCTATCATCTACCAACCAGAAGCAAATTGCAATGTCTGATTTAGACCACAAGTGATATCTCCAGCTGGTGGCCACTAAGCACCCAGATGTGTATGAGTTGGCTCTACAGCTGGATCTGAGATGAAGTCTCCCATCACCACTGACAAATGCTTTTAGTGATGTTTAATGGCACTGATGACTGCAGAGTGAAAAAACTGTTAAACAAAGTACAACGGTCTAGCGTGAGGCGTCCATGCCCATGGCAGGGGGGATGAAACTAGATGATCTTAAGGTCCTTTCCAACCCTAACCATTCTATGAGTCTATAAAAGGTAGAAGGTAAGGATGTCAAAAGACCATCCACTCCACAGTAGCTGAAGGATATAGCAGTTGGAAAACATGCATGAGCAAAGAAATGAAAATGGATTACAGCACAGAGAAATTTATTTGCACTGTGCTTTGGGATATTAAACAGGAAAATTAGAAGGATTCTCAGTTTTATCAGGAAACTGAGGAGAAAGTAGAAGTTTATGAGTTTGTAGAGTAGCGGTTTTGCAAAATGGGTGCATTTTCTGTTTTCAAAGCAGCTAATCTGTGGGGTAGGACCTAGTCCTTTATTTTGAATTTGTCTGTGTTTTGACCAGGTAGCTAGAAAGCACTACAGAGATTCTGAGCCAATTATGGCTTTTGTTAACAGCAGAAGGGTAGAAGTGGGAAATAAAAGAGATTTGGAGGATATTCTTAGCTCAGAAGACTCTGAGCCTGTTTTTATCACATGGATTTCAAATCTTTATTCTATTTTTTTGTCATATCTAAATAAGACTGTGTGCATGACTACATCTCATTAACTCATATTCATGCTGCCTGGGAAGTATTGCACTGCTTTTTGCCCAAATAGTGTTTTATCTAATCTGGCCTTCCGACCATAAGAATCTCCCAAGAAATATACTGATGATTTATGTAAGTCTTTAGGACCATTTAATGACTCTGAATGAGCTGCAAAGATCATTTAAATGTATAAAGAATGTAACCTTTTACATGTATAAAGTATGTAACCTGATTATCTTCTTGGCTGTAAAATGGGCAGCCATTTGAGAGCATCTGTCCAGAGATGAGGCAGCCCAGTGATAGGGTTGTTCAAGAGAGGCACTCCAGGCTGTGCTTGCAGCCCATCACTCTGGTTTTTGTGCTTCTGCCACAGCTTCCCCTTTTTTTCTGTTGTACTTAAGGAAATTAAGTTTTCACTTCTGGATGGAATCCTTTGAGGAAAACATTGAGATGCTGTGGGCACTGTGTGGCTGGCACAGGCTCTTCTGAAAATCCTGGTTGCAAAGTTAATACAGGGATCTCTTACTGGACTACAGTGACAAAGAACTGACCCAGCCACGTTGCCTGGGCTCGCCATGCACTCTCAGCCTTCTTCTTGAGGTTGTTTCGGCACAGAAGGAGTTAGCAATGGTGTGAGAAAATAACTGCGGCCTCACAAGAAGAGAGGCCACTGTCCTTTCTGGAGGGGACTTTTACCCCATTACCTATCTGTGCCTGTGGGCCCTGGCACACCACAAGGGTCGATAGAATCAAAGGGTGCCTGTTGGTGCATCTGACTATATGCTTGTGCACCCTAATACAGTATAAAAGGCAAATGTTTATCCTTGCAATTGTTCACTTGCATACCCAATTTCAAGGCAAAACATGCAAATATTGCAATGCTGAGAAAGGAACCGCCTTCTCCAGTGTTGGACCTGCAGTCTCATCAGGCAGTATACAATGCCCCTTAAAAAGTTAAAAAATAGAAAGTATCACCTAAAATATTTGACATCATTGCTACATGATTTTAAATCTTTCTTTTACAATTTTGTAGATCCATATCAGATTCTTGGACCAACCAGCAGCCGACTTGCAAATCCAGGTGAGAAGAGATTTTGCTGATTTAGGAGATTTTGTTTTCACTGCTAGTATCTCCAGTTTTAAGCCAGACCTGGAAGATGATGTGACAGATTTTACCGCTCTTCTGTATGACTCAGTGGAAGCCGATTATACCCAGTGTGTTGCAGGATTAGGTTTCTAAATTAAACAGTGGTGGAACTGAGGTCACAGGTTAAGACACGTATCTTACTGTAAGCATCTACATATAAGTTATGTATCTTATTTCCCGTTGTCTTCATTAGAGACAGAGTTAATATAGCTCTCTGTAGAGAGCTATCCAAATAGTTCTCAAGTAGATGGTTACATTCAGTCACTCAAATACCTCATTAAAGGTATTTGAACTTTTCATATCAGTAGGAGGCACTTCAGTTGCCTAAACATCAGGATTTTGTTAAGTGCTGTAAGATACCCCATCTGGCCTCCAGCTACCCCTCCAGAAGGGCATGAGTCTTTTACCAGTCTGCATCATGTGTCCCAGATTTTGTTAATACACAATACAATGCCATAGTGACCTTGACAAATAAAAAATATTGAGTTTAATAAATTATATAGGGAGAAAAACAGGAAAGCATAAGCTATTTGCAAAGAATAACTGAGTTAAACATTTAAAAAATATTCTCCCACTTTAAGAAGAAGGCAACAGGGTGCACTCTGGACAGGGGCTTGTAGCACATTTTAGCTAAAGAGGACAGACCTTCCTGGTGAGTTAATAACACTGATTGTGAACTGTGCATATTGCACTGCTTCTGCTCTGAACCCAGAGGATGTGGCTGTACATCACCATAATCAACATAATAATCTGCCATAATGGCTTGACACTGTAAATCCACTTCCTATTTGCTTTGGTTTAACAGCCACAGGGAACCATGTTCCTTGTTCCGCATTGCAGGTCTCCTCAACCCCCAGTAACCACGTGTCTTCTTACAACCATTGTATATGTTTTTTCATGGCACGAAATTGCCAAAGTACTCAGCGATTTCCTTTCACTTTTTCCCAAGTGATATCAAGTACAGTTCTAGGTTAGCTTATTTGTAAGCTAAAACAAACAGTTTTGCGTGGCATAGGAAAGCAATTAAGTATTAAGAATAAAATTTTCCAAATGGCATAAGCAGTGGGTTTCTGGGTGACGCTGATCTTAACTGGAAGTCGGGGCCTCCCTCCCTTTAATATGTTCATAAACCCCAGCCTTTACAATTTTGTCAAGCATCTGTTTGGTAGACTTTATTACTGTGGAAGACACTGGCATGATCTGGATGAGGATACTCTTAACATTTAGATACAGAGCTCTTACACACCATCATTCCTGTGCTTTAACATGTTTTCTGTGTTTATAAATTGGTGGAATTACTCTCTCATTAAAAGGAAATTGACAGCAACCATTTGTTTTCATAGGACTATATATTACATTTGGAAGGCAAGTGTTTATGTTAGAACATGTGTTGGATTGCTTATTCAAAAAGTTGTGTTTCGTCCAGTGGTGAACTGTTTATTGATTTTCAAAGGCTAATCCTCTTGTTATGTTTTGTGTATTAAAACTTGCATGCCTTGCTCATACCATGGATTCTTTTGTTTGTTTGTTTACTTAATGCATGTTAATGGAACAGAGGAAATTCATTAAGGATAGTTTGGATAAATATCATTTAAAAGAATATGGGTTTCAGTTGCACTGAAGTATAAACTGCTAATGGATTTCAGATGCTACTCTAGCTTGATATTATAATTCGCTACTATAAGCTTTCTAAAGGAAAGCTTGTTTATTATACCCACATATCTGGTTTGGAAAAGAAAAAGAAACCCGACCTATTCCTGGTCAGAGATGTACTTAGAAGTTAGCACATACAAGCTGGTTGGCAAATTCTGCTGACATTGTGCTTGTGAAACAGATTGCCTTGCAAGCTGCTTCAGCTGTATTTTGCATCATTTCAGTGCTTCTTGATTAAGAAATGCTAAGCTTTTAGCATGAATATCAGTGGCAAGGCCCTTTGAAATCTACTTTCAGTTGCTTAAAATGGTCACATTTCATTCCTATAACTCTGGGCAACACACTTTGCAAAGTTGACAGCAGACTAAATATCTTCTTTTTAAGATGAAATTGGCAGAAGAATGAGGAAAAAAAGTTTTAAGTCTTAACTTCAATAATAATTTAAACTTATATGACACAAAATGATGACAATAATGTATTTTGTAGACCTTTTCACTGTTCTTGCAAATGTTTTGCCCTATGGTTGTATGCAGTGCAACAGCAAGCTAATAAGTTTCCGTTCTGCATTTCCCCAAATGCTGCAAATGGATGATATGGTTTGGCATGAGCCCAGCTTTCTCTAAACTTCTCCATTTTGTGTAGTCTTATTCCATAGCAGAGAACATTCAGTTGCAACATAATGCTGTGAGAACAAGCAAAATGTTACGCAAGTGAAAGCTGTTTGTCCTGAACTTTAGAGATTAGTTTCCTAAATAAGCGCTGTATTATTTCCCCATCAGTTGTCTACATGGAATGACATTAGGTAACTATCAAATCTCCATGTAATGGCATTCTGCCACTCAGATGAGGGAAAACATGACACATTACCATTATCTCTGCTCTTCAGGATTTCATGAGACAGGGCTGGGAGAAAGGAGACAAGTATTTCAGAGTAAGAAGTCAGAATGACATTTCCTAATAGGGTCCTATATGAGAGCCTGGAAGAACTGAAGTATTAACATTATTGGTCAATAGTCCTGACATTTCCTTTTTGTTCCCCCCCCCCCCCCCCCAGGGAGTGGGCAGATACAGCTGTGGCAGTTCCTGCTGGAGCTCCTCTCAGACAGCTCCAACTCCAACTGCATCACCTGGGAGGGCACAAACGGGGAATTCAAGATGACTGACCCAGATGAAGTGGCTCGGCGCTGGGGGGAGCGGAAAAGCAAGCCTAACATGAACTATGACAAACTCAGCCGTGCGCTTCGCTACTACTATGATAAAAATATTATGACTAAGGTTCATGGTAAGCGCTACGCCTACAAATTTGACTTCCATGGAATTGCTCAGGCTCTCCAGCCTCACCCCCCGGAGTCATCCATGTACAAATACCCATCAGACCTCCCCTACATGAGCTCTTACCATGCACATCCTCAGAAGATGAACTTTGTAGCTCCCCACCCCCCTGCTTTGCCTGTAACGTCGTCCAGCTTTTTTGCTGCCCCTAATCCATACTGGAATTCACCAACTGGAGGTATCTATCCCAATACCAGGCTGCCAGCTGCTCATATGCCTTCTCATCTTGGCACCTACTACTAAGTGGAGAAAAAAGAAACATCAGAAAAAAACAAAGACACTTCTTGCTGGGATCCAGTCCCTGGTGAATTGCAATGAACTCTATTGGAGTCCGTGAATTAAAAGTGCCTAAAGAGACAAGTGAAGGTTTGGCTGGGAAAAAAAAAAACACAACAAACATTAAAAAAAATAAGACTCTTTGTAGTTTGGATTTAAAGGAGATATTCAAGAAGTATTAAGATATTAAAATGTAATGTATATGGGCATCGACTCTGTGGACCAAACAACAATAGACTATTGTAGGTAAAAGCATGAAATGATGAGGAAAACCTACGAAAGCTAGTGGTCTTAAAAAGTTGATAAGCTTACGTGTAAAGTTTGATATCTTGCTAGTGCAAAACTGGGACAATACTACAGCAATATAAGGATAAGTCTATAGTGACCTAACATACAATATAAGAAACATTACAAAACAGGGAGGGGGAAGGTAAAAACAAGGGAAAAAAACCCTACCTGTATTTAAAAAATGGAAACATATCAACAAAAGAGATTAGTTTAGTGTGGAAACTGATTTGGGATATAACGGCATTGTTTTAGTTAAAATAAAATGAGTTCCATTCATGAGAGTGTTATCAGCTACCCAAACTGTGAAGACAACCCAAACTTTAAGATTCCTTGACAGTATTACAGGAACCCTGAGCCAAACATTGGAAATGAGAATGTGCTGAAGGGCAAGTGTATGATTGTAGATCAGAGGCCTGCACCTGACAGAGGAAGCAGAAAGGAGAAAGAGGAGGACAAAGGAGGTGACAATGTGAGAAAAGAAACTTCTTTACCAGTTGAGACTGAAAAGACTGAAAACATAGTAGCGTTGGGACTATGAAGAAACACTTGTTTGGACTTGTGAAACATATTGCTCAGTATCATACCATTCCCAGTATTACAGGAGGAACAGACTTGATTTTATAGTAATAAAAAAAAGGTGGAAAAAGGGAAAAGCAGGAGAATTCAGAAATCAAAATATGCATCTCTTTTTTAAAAAAAGTAAAACTGGAATTGTGTCTGATATTTAAAAAGTTACCAGTTAGAACCTCATTGTTATTAAGGGAGTTTGTTTTCTATTGGTTAAAGCAAGAGACAACCCCTGACTGCCAAAATCAGAAATCATCGAAGTATTTTTGTTAGGCGGGCGCCAGTTTTTCTTTATTGAGTCGCGAACGCTGTGCGTTTGTCAGAATGAAGTATACAAGTCAATGTTATTTTTTCCTTTTTATATAATTATTATATAACTTATGCATTTATACACTACGAGTTGATCTCGGCCAACCAAAGACACAAAAAAGGGACAATCAAAAATATTGTGGCCTTGAATTTTAACTCTGTATGCTTAATGTTTACATTATGAACATATTAGTACTTAGAATGCAGAATGTATGTAATAAAATAAGCTTGGCCTAGCATGGCAATTCAGATTGACACTGTAGTTTGCATTTGCATTTCCATTTTTAGCTCCTGACATGCCTATCGGATCTCCTGTTCAACATGGTAAAATATGCTAGGCATTTTGTTTTAAAAATCTGTTTTACCAAATCTGGCACTCATTAAAATGTAGGACCAAACAGCAATGCTTAGCCTAAGTTCAAAGTGGACAGGTGCTGTGTATCTTCTTTTCCAGAGAGTTCTGCTGAAACACTTGCCACCCTTCTCTAACAGTGCCTTGCCATTCCTGTCCTGAGCTTCGTTTGCCCAGAGATTGCAACCATGCCCAATTCTTTGATAACTTCATGGCCAAGTTTGAAAATGAAGTCTAAAGGAGGCCTCTAGAAAGAATACTGGTACCCAGAAATCATCTTTTGTTGCCATCAGATTATGCAGTATAATCTCAGCCTGAGACGTATTTTCATACTGAATCATATGTTCAATTACCATGCCCCCTTGCTATTAATACATACTGTATAATTACTAGTAAATAAAGTGAATAATGAATAACTTCCGTTATTCCTCACTTTAGAATGGGTGTATGATAGCTTATTAATTTGTCACTGCAGTCCAGCCTGGATGTTTACAAAGGGCAGGAAGTTTTCTTTCTCTTCTAGATTTAGAGGCTTCCCATTCTGTACTCAGGGCCCCAAAACTACATCTGGTGCCTAATGGCATGACTCCATTTTTTTTGTAACACCAACTGAAGAACTGGTCTGGAAAATCAGCACTGACATTTATGAGTGGCTGTCCACAGCAGGCAGCATTTTACTGCAGAGACCACAGACAGATCAGACCTCCAACCGTATCCCGCTTTTTTGCTGTTCTTTTGTCTCTTTTCTTCAGACAAAATGGGTGTGGTTTCAAGTTTTATTTCAAATGTTCTGCATATCCATTCTGTGCAGCATTAATCAGTGCTGTGCAATGGGAGCCTCCTTGCCAGACTCCTGTGTTATGGGTGTCTTGATAGCACTTTATAAACACAGGATTATATTACTAATGTTTGAGACCTGAGCAGTGGCATCATAAGCCTTGTGATAGTTTGGGAAATAAGCACTGTAGGGTCTGTATCTCTTAAAAAATAAAAACTTATAGAAAGGTTAGAAAAACTGAACTCTTGGAAAAGGTTAGTCACTATTTTAGAAAGTTATGGCAGGCACACCTACATGCTGACTATCAGAAGAATAGCTTGCCTTTCAGTGGAAATACCTCTACACATGCTTGCTATCTACTTCATGTGCACTTCCAACTCAAAAATGGTAAGTGTATTGTTGAACCGCCTTTAAATTAAACACTTAAAAATCCAGATAAAACAACCATCTTTGTTTAGATTGGCAAGGACATGTCTGGAGGCCTCCAAAGCATCCCCAGTGCTCACAGAGCTGACTGCAGGATTTCCGGATTGTGTTGCCTGGCTGCTATCACGTGCAATGAACGACATCCTGACATTAAAAGAAGGGGTCCAAATCCTGGGACCGAGATGGTGTCACAGCAGATGGTGTGATGCAGACCCCTCATGATGAAGAGCAAAATCCTACAGTAGCCCATGGGTAGGTCACAGGCGAACCAGTCCAGGACACCTGTCTTAGAACTACATCTTTCCCCAGGACTAGCTCACAGTTTTACAGCAGCCTTGGAAAACCTGGATTTTGCAACCCTAAGGATGAAGAGGAGGGTGAAAGATGGAGAGATCCTACTGCTGCTGCATTGAAATGGGTGGCTCTGCTACTTGTGGGGCCTTCCTTACCCCATGGGCAGCAGTTACCCCACAGGGTCTTCCTGCTGGAGGGCAAGGACCAGCCCAGTGTCTCAGGGCACTGGCAGGAGTAAAACAGGCAGTGGACCCATGGTAGTGTTTCTGCTGCTCAGTGCCTGCTACCTAATCTGGCCCTGCCACTAGAAGCTAGGAAAACCAGAGAGAGGCCAGAATTTTAGGGCTGGTTCCTGGTGCAGACCATGACAAGGGATGGACCCGGTACAGAAAAAATGCTCAAGGAAGATGAGCAACTCAGTGTCCGTACCATGAGAGACATCCATGTAAGGCTCAGCCAGGCCCCAAGAGCTCAGCTGAACATGCTGTCTGTTCGCCATTTAAACACCTGGATGCATGGACAACATGGCCCTGATGAGTCCACATTTGCACGAGTTGGTCATAAGCCTCATACCTTATTACAGCACATTGAGGACTGCTTTGAAAGCAGAAGCTTTATTTTTCCTGAAATATAGAGATATACATGGGTGCTTATCTTTCACCAAGAAATACACATCTGTCTGAGAAGATACACTAACATGGGAAGCAAAGGTGAGAAAAGTTTTAAAAGTTAAATTAGGAAGCTCAAATTTCTCTGTTCTCAGTATTTCCCTGCATATAAAATTGGTTTTGTTAAGTATACACAAAATGCTTTTGAAAGATGTATTTTACAAGACTTGTATTGTGAGTCTTAAGGGACTCAGAGAGATATTAGAACAGCAAAGCAGCAGCTGTACTGAACTCCTTCATTCCCCACACTTTCCACATTCAGAAGACTCCAGATCGGGTACCTCAAACAAAACACGCTTTTTAAACTGCTCGCAGAAACACAGGGATCAGCAGTGATTTGAACTTTTTTTTCTTCAAACTCTTCTTGCTCTGACTGTTTCTTACACCAGGATTGTTATTTACAGATGCATAAAAGGAAGGTAAGAAAACCACTCTACCTTATGCTATATGCTTAATGATCCCATGACCTTTTTCTGTGCCATCTTTTCAAGTTTTGGTCACATCAGAGGAATGGCCCTGAGAATAGTCTCTGCTTACCTAAATCACTGGTAAGTCAGATTGGTGCCTCATCCATCCAAAGGATTCAGGTAACTCATGCCTAAATTTTAACTGCCTCCTGATGCAACGCAAGTGCTTCATTCCCTATCTGATCTGTGGAGGGAGCCTTTGAATATCTTCGCGGCAGAAACTGCATGCCCTTGCATCCTTACTTAAATAGATGAGGTGCTACTGTGGGGGCTCACTGGAATTGTCACATCCCTCATTGTGCTAGGCTGTTCAAAGAGCCCTTCCTCATCAGACCTCTGCTAAGAGCTCAGAGACCTTAGAGTTCAGAGAAGGCTACCCTCTACACTTGGCATTACACCAAGGGAGGCAAGGGCTAAAAAGTCCATGAAGCCTTCCCCCTGGTTAACTAGCACTGTGGTCCCCCCTTCATAATAAAGACTGCATATACACACAACATATACACTCTTGGCTGTGCACTCCCTCACTCCTCTCACCCTCTGGTTATGTCTTGACCTCTGTGCAGACCACATGAGAGGGACACACCAGGAATTTGGCAAGAGAAAATATGAACATGAAGTCTGGGTAAGCCACACCATTTTCATCAAGCAGATGAGGCTGCTCAGAAGGCTGTCCTGGCTCCTTACTTGTTTCCAGCTGCAACCTCTGAAGTGGCTTTGCTCCACCACTGCCCTCAGGGTGCTGTGACCACTCCTTCAAGGCACTGACAACTGAAATTACATCAGAGGCATGACCCAGTGAGACCTTGGTGAAGAAGGGGAACTACTTGGTGAGCTGGTGAATGAGGACATTAAGCCAATTGGAATGTGGAAAAATGTTTCAAAATGTAATGGCTTTCATTGTTTAAAAATGCACGTATTTTCAAGAAGACTGAAGAAAACAGACAGGATGGTTTAGGCTAGGAATTGCCCTGAGATGTACTTTTAAAGCAGTGGAGTGAGGACTTCTCAAAACAAGGCTTGGAAAATTTCTTGGTTTGTGTGCCAGAATATTGGGCCATATATCTTTTATAAACGAATAAGGGACAGAACAGTTTCCTATGTACAATTCTAGGAGAAGCAGTGAGGAAGAGAAACCTTATCCATGCCCCTCACTATTATGGAACTATTTTCTATTGTATAGTTACTGATATTTCTTTAATCTTCTCATTTGAAAAGGTCTCAACTCTAGGGTATTTCCACCCATTCCCTTAACACAGAGGTTATACACGTCAACATCAAAGCTTTTTTGTGTTAGCACTATTTTTGTATTTTGCAATTTCTTCTGATTACGCTCCCCATGCATCACAGTCTGGAGTTTCCAGCCTGCCTCAATGTTTACAGCTTTCCAAATATTTGTAGTTTGTTATCACGCTCCCTTTGACTGGATGTTAGCCAAGCTTAGACGTATTCCACTTCACAAACTTATCCCTCTTCTTCTCTGATAATTGTTAATGGGCCCTTCTTATTTTTCTTTTTTTATTTCTCTTTTTCTTTTTTTTTTCTTTTTTTTTCTTTCGCTTTGCACATGGGCAGCCCAGATGTCTCCTGCTGTCTAAATGAATTCCATCTATGATTTCTCTGCCTGCCACTTCCTTCCCACTGGAGTCTGCTGCTCACCCCACTTAAGCACCTAATGTGCTTGTAGCCTCACCTGGCTGAAAGGTCTTCCTTGAGCAGCTGAAAAACCCCTTCATCTCTTCAGCTCTGAACCAACATCCATGTCCTTTGGAGCAGCATCCTTCTCATGACCTGAAAACCATCCCTTCCTCAGATCTCTCCACCAACACACCACCAGGGAGGTTTTTTCAAACTACTGTTTTGAACAGGCTGTGCTAATTCCACCAGCTCATCTCACCCAAATGTGCAGTGTTTATTTTGGACTTCTTCTGTCTGTGTCTCAGGCAGGCTGAAAGCTGCTTCAGACAAAAAATGCACATCCACAGAGCACCCAGTAGTGTGATGCTCTTAATACTAGATAATCATGAGTAATACTGCCAAAAACAGTGCCTATGCATTTCCAGTTTTCTTCATTATGGAAAATTGAAAGCTGCTCAGTAGAAAACAGATACAGGGTTCTTAAAACAGGCACAGGCACTTGAGTGAAAGATTGCAATGGCACTCTTGGGCTTCAAAGCAGCCCTAAAAGGAAATGAAAGACAAGTATTTAGATATGTCTTTCACTCAATTCTTTCATACAATTTTTGCAAAATTAACTGTCTGTATTGGCAAACAAGCCATGCAGACCCGTAGTCACCTGAGACATGAGCTTAGGACTTCCAGGAATCATATAGGGCTTCAAAGTCCGCCTTCCTACACCCTCCTGAAGGAGTGCTAGAGAGCTTGTGAAGCCCTCCGGTGCATCTGCAACAGCACTGACCACTGAAATGGTGGTTAAAAATAATATTCGTTTTCCCTTGCAGTTTGGGAGGTATGTTCACCTGAGTTACTGTAGTCAAAATACAAGAGGAAGACAAAAAAAAGAGGGGGAAAGTCCAAGTATTCATTTGTTTCATGGCTGAAAAATCACCCCATGCTGTCTGGTTCCCAGAAACGCTAGTCTGACACATCAATATATTTCAGTTTCCTGGGATGAGGATGGCATTCATATGACCCAGCCATGAGTCGGATCCTGTTGTGCTGGATATGGTAAATAGAGATCATGACTAACAGATGTTGCTTTGAAGTGCTCATATCTTTAAATACACAAGACTAATAAATGCTGGAAGAGGCTGTATTTTCTTGCAAGAC